ATCAAAAAGTTATAGAAGTTTAAATTTACTGTAAAGAAAATGCACTATACTTATTTTATTTTATATATAATAAATATTTTACATAACAGGTTTTACTCTAAAATGGTATAAAATTAAAGCCTTATGTCTAAATAAGTTATATTCCAAATTTGAAGTTGATATGAAAAAAACTGAGGTTCCTGTGAGGTTTTATTTAGGGCGTTATACCACAAACAGCCACCGGGTTTGCCATCCAAATTCCATATAATTTTTTAATGCATTTTTCTGTCACAAATGTCTAGATTTCTCTGTCAATATTACTTCTATCTCATAATAACCACCAAATATGGAATCTGAGACTCAGACCTTTCCAATTATGTTTTTTGTCAAGATTATAAAAAGATTTGATTCTAAAAGAGCGTAATGCATTTTGTAATATGACACTTGACACCGCCTACTAAGGGGGAGGAGACCGCCAAAAGATTTTAAAGTACAATTTCCATGGTAACGCAATGCCCGATTTCAAAATGGTTTTCACAAAATGAATCTTGGGCTTCTAACCTTTCAAATTATATATAATGTATGATGATTACTAAAAGATTTGATAGAGAAAAAGGAAAACAACAAAAAAAGAGCGCCAAGCGTCCCACAGGTGGGATGGTGACAGTTAAGGGGTTTAAAGTGGGTAAGCAAATACATTAATAATTACATACATTTTCAAGTGTAGCTTGATGCTAATTGTACGTCTAATTATACTTTAGGACGTAGCCTATTCTTGTAAGCATTATAGATAGTTTGTGTTTCTGGTGTAGAACCAAAGTTTGTTTATCTTAATTTAATGCTGTATATTGAGCAGCGGACGATGTTAAATCCATTTACGAGATACATATCTGAGGAAAAATGCATTGTTGGTCGGCACCACCTAGCGTGCAGGCGTGAATTAGCAGAAGGCGAACAATTGTTTGGCGTTCAGTGTGAAAGCACAGTTCGTCAGCGATTCGCCTCGCTTTTTCGCACCGCACTCTGTGTGGAAAGACCTTTAGTAAAGCACTATCTTCGGTGTAATACTCTCTTCTCACCATTAAGCATTTCTGGGGCCATCCAGTATGGGTTCCCCACCACCGTGTAGCGTTTCTTACGGTCAATCCGTCTAAACAGTCTTTTCTTATTGGTTGGTTTGTCAGGGGGTGGCTGCTTGACCTTATCCTCCATGATTAGACGAGATAGACCGAAATCTGCCACCACGACGGTGTTGTCCTGCAGGTGTCAGACAAGTAGAGCGAAAAAGAACAGATGTGCAGAAATGTTTAGCATGACAGTGCTAGTTCTCTGATACAAATTTATGAGTACAAAGGAACCCTAAAAATAAAAAAATACACAAAATAAAAAGAAATTCAAAGAAAAACATAAAAATTCAAGTAGGGTGTAAAAGAAAGATCTTAACATCAGAAGTCAATCCTAGCTTTAAACTATTTGCACTTGTCTAAATGTTTAACTAAGCTCCAAAGGCATGCCGTTTGTTCTCCTAAAAAGGTTCTTTAAATATCTTGTCATAAGTGATTCACTCAGGATATGTGAAACACTGAGGTCAGTCAGGGTCAGACAGCATTTCCTGTCTTATCTTCTTTCCACTAACTAAACAAGTGAGCAACCATTAACTAAACAATCCTCGAGTGTGAACAGATCTTTACCCTTCACTTAGGGTTCTCTCTCCTGCTCAAGTGTTATTACATAACATGTTTTTGGGTGCTTGTCTACTTTAGCCGTTTTGTTTGTGCTGACACAAGTCTGTCAGCTATTCTCGATTATGAAAACCTGTTTCTAGGCCCTGGGCTCCCCAAGCAAGGCCAAATAAGTGTAGACTTTGATCTGAGTTAATATGTGGAATGGGTGAAACTCCTCCCGTACCAGTTTGACCAGGCAGTTGTGAGAGTTGAGATCTCGATGTATGATGCTCATTGAATGCAGATATGCCTGAAAGAATAAGAGAATAAAATCAATCAGATGAGACGGAAAAAGAGCTTGTGTCTGAGCAGAATGAGGAAAGACAGAACTGCAAGAGAAATCTACAACCTCTTGATCACCACCACAACAAGAAGTACTAAGACAAAAACTAAAGTGATGCATCAGCAATACACAACAAAACCTCCTGCTAAACAGGAAGTTGCTTGTCTGTCTTCTCAACTACTCAGACATTTCTTAGTTGAGATGTACTTGCTGTTGAAGATTAAAGTAAAACGGTGTCCTAACCAGGTGTGATGTTTTTAGTAGCAAGTAAAACAATTTATGATAGATGATTGATGACTTTAAAGTAAGCGTAACCTATTAAATATTTATCATTGACTGCTATATATCCAGTAATGGCTGATAGCAATTAATATAAAAGGTGCCAATGTTGGCAGATAACCAATATGGTGCAGATATATTGTGCATTCCATATTAGAACACATTTAACGTGGATTAAACACATTTAACACTTTTTTTTTTACAGTGGGCGGGGATGCCCAGTGAGACAACAGAAATCAAAATCAAATCTCTGTCATAAATGTCCTGATGTGCTTAGTTTAGGCAAAAAAAACACACAAGACAGAGTTCATATTGCTTGTCGATTTATGGTTGGGAGACCTCCCTCCCATTTATGAAATGTTACTCCATGGAGACATCACAGATTCATCTTTTAACTGGATTAATGAATTCGGACAAAGTGTTGATACTAGTATTTTTGCTCCTCTAATGACCCCAGATGTAATGCCAAATTATAGTCCCTGTTTGCTATTGGTTGACAAAGATAGTCCCACCCCAAACTCATGCCAGTGGCCAGAGCCAATGTTTCTGCATCAGACTGGTTGTGGCACTAAAACAACATGTTGATAACACCAAAGCCAATGTTTACACCAATGATTACACAAATCAAATCAACCTACTTAAATCTTACTTTTAGTCTCTGAATATTAAGCTGGGATGGAAATTTTTTGTGACATCTAAAAAATTACTTAACCTTTAAATTGTCCTCTTTTATCTCACCATTTCCTTCAATGTATGTATATATAGTTAGTTAGTTAGTTAACAACTTTATTAATCCCACAAGGGGCAATTAAAGTATGGTAGTAGCATCATAGCATCATATAACAAACTTAATTCAAACATAAGATATCACATAGACAATACAAAAAGATAAATAAGTAAAAACACAGCCCAACATGCTTCATAATAAATTTCGTACATAAACAATAAAATTATTTAAAAAAAAAACCTTACTAAAAATTTGAATAGCAAAAACGTATAGCCTCTGGAACAAAAGTGAATTTATATCTATTAGATGAACATTTAATGCTTCTGAATCTTCTTCCAGAGGGCAATACTTCAAAGTAAAACTTCAAGGGGTGAGAGTCATCTCCCGTAATGCTACGAGTTTTTCTTAGTATTTGTTGCTCATAGAATTCTGCTAGACTCCGCAGAGGCACACCTATAATTTTTGAGCAAGTCCTAACTAAGGTCTGCAAATGATTCTTGTTCCTAACAGAGAGTGACGAGTACCAGCATAAAAAAGAAAAACTCAAGATACTCTCAATCAAATCAAATATATAACGGTCAATTCTGATCCAAAAGTGCCTCAAATGTAGTACAACAATAGCTTATGTTGTTTTGCAAATCTATATGTGTGCAGACCCAGAAGCCCACTCACCATTCCAGATGCGATGCTTTTTGCAAAGCTAACTCTCTGTTCCCAAGGGAATGAGTCCTGTAGGGACAGAGAGAGAGAGAGAGAGAGAAAGAGAGATGAATTGCTGGCCTAGTTTATAACCACACTATAATACAGCCCAGTGTGACAGCACGCTATGCTGTCCGTGAATTAAGAGAGGAAATCGTTACATAATGGCAGCCGCTTATTAGACAAATTACACACACAGACACACTTTTATAGAAAACATTATAGCGCATTAGAGAGACACAATGACAGACTGAACAAGAGAGGTATATCATCTGTTATCCTTATGTTTGGTTTGAAGCAAACCCAGTGGGTGATCTGGAAAAAATTCTCACTAGAATCCCACACCTGGAAACACTTCATACCTCCTTTATCTCTCATCCGCTGCAACCACACAACTGCATTTTCTTCCTCTCATTTCATCGACTGTTTATATTTTCCAGTCCCTATTTTCTGTCCCTCTCCCTTCCTCCTTACAAAGTTCATCTCAGGTGAACGGAGACAAAGACTAAAACACTAACAGATGATATACAGCCCTTCCTAGAAGCAAGAGGAAAGGAAAAAAGGGATTTGAAAATCAGGACGCACCGTGTCTCGGATAAAATCCTTCAGAGTGCCTCCCTCAATGAACTCTGTTATCAGATTAAGCCGCTTGTCCTTGTACAAAACCCCAATGAACTTCAAAACGTGTGGGTGATCAAGACTTCTCATCACTTTTACCTGGAAAAGAGAGAGAGTGAGAGAGTGAGGGAAAAATACTAATTGCTAAGATTCTTCAAATGATTCATACTAAATACAGTCTGGATAAATCTAAGACTCTTTTCCTCTGAAGAAAATCACAAATGCGACAGCAACACTGTATCCCGGTGCCACATGGATCTGTTTTATCTGCAGTTTAAATCAAGCCCTGATACTGACCCTGAGTAGACAACAAAGGGATGGAAGGAATAAAAGTGGATATGGAGACGAAGGGAAAAAATTATGTAGTAATCAGATGGACGAATGAGAGGTACTTGTGGGGAAAGAAAGGGATCTTCATACCTCCTTTAGGAACGTTTTCTGTGTCTCTTCATCACAGCGGATCAGCTCCTTCATGACCATCACCTCACCTGTGGCTTTATGGGTCACCTACAAAAAAAGAAAGAAAAAAAAAATCACACAGTATTAGGGTTGGAACTTAAATTATTTCCCGTTCTTCAAAAATATTGAAACCAAATAGTTTTAATAAACTTCATCCGCATTGTTCTGCTAACTGGGAATGGAACTACTATGACACTACTGAACTTATTCCAAGTAAAGAAAAATGCACGGTAATAGAATCATTAAGGAACCACAATTCATAACTGTGGAATCAGAATTCCTTATGATTTCATTACCAAAGGAAATACAGACCTGTCTTCCAACTATGAACTAAGCTTCAATGCAGTGAAACAGCTCTTCTAGACACTGCAATACACACAAAATGAGGAAAGGTTGTTAAACATATGCACACCTTGATGGCCTGTCCAAAGAAACCTTTTCCGAGGATTTCTCCATGGATGAGGTCACAGGGCCGGAAAATACGGTGAGAGCGGCTGGAAGGAGAACGGAGGGATTCAGAGCGCCCGATATCTCGAGTTAGAATCGGAGGGTCTTTAGGAGATGAAGAAACTGGAGACTTGCAGATGCTGTTGCTACGTCTACACCACACAAGACAGAAGTATTAATTCTTTACAAACCCAAAAAGCAATTGGAAAAGGATAAACAAGTGTGTAATGTATTTATTTTGCACCATCTCTGTATCCACTTGGAATCAAAAATGTAAATGAACTGTGCTCCAATTAGATGACATATGTTACCTGAGGGACCTCCTTTTTAACGTCCCATTGTCCACTGAGTCACTTCGTTCGATCTCAGCATCCGCTGAGGAGGACATACGCATGCGGGAGGCCGCGGGGACACCCAGTTGACTGCGGGAAGAGCCCAGGCGGAGTCGGTCCAGACGCTGTCTGACTGGATCATATTCCATCAACAGCTGCAGTGTCTGACTGGTCCGATGGATCAGGTCCTCCACCTGAAACGACCAATCCAAATTCAGAAGGTCATATACACTCTGGTTGTTTTGATGAGGGTCACAAGAACAATTAAAAGCTAGAGGACAGCATTAAGTCATAAAAGTTCAGTATTGTGCATTAGTGCTGTTCACATAGATAACATTGATTTTCCTCCCAGTCAAAGCTGGTGCCACACAAAAGGTCTTTCTAAAGGTGCAAAAGATAAGCCCTTAAAATCAACACTGAATTTAAGATTATGTAATACACAGGAACAGTGGAATACGCTGGATATTCAATATTTTCAGGTCGATAAATCTGGACATGCAGCAATGAAGACTGCTTTCTGTAATTGTGATTATGTTCATTTCAGGACTTTTCCAGGAATTTTCCATTTTTAGGATTACAGAACTTCAGGCTGCTCATTACGTCGGGCAGATGGCTGCCAAACAAAGTCAGTCCAAAAACCTCCTTGTACGTGATTAAATTAGGGCACAAATCCATGACAACAGAAGTGAAGCAGTGGAATTCAGACATTAAGGAGAAATGGTGGGAAAATGAAATTACATTTACAAATGCACGATAAGAATGCAAAGCATTTACATAGGAGTTGACAAGTCACTTTAGTACAAGAGTCTACATACACAGACCTCCCAATATAGGTATGCATTACAAAGTTAAACTCATGCATGACTACTTTTTATTTCTTAAGAAAACTAAATACTGCTTCTGCAACATCAACAAATATATCCAGTGCTTTGACAAAACAGATGCATGTCAATTTAGAATGAAGCTCCAAGCTCCATATGGATTATGATTAAAAAAACACATCAAAGCCATATAACAAACAGCCTGTTTCTAGGGAGTAGTGTAAATTCAATGCATGACCAGGTTACAGTAATGACCATGGTATGAAAGGAGTGTCATTGTATGTGCTGGGACAAGCTATAGTATGAGTTTGTGTTCCAAATGCTTACCATGCCGTTCCTCTGTATTGCTTCAACAAGTTAACGTTGGCACGATTTCACCTCACCTCAAAGCTAATAGCAAGCATGGTAGTGGTAAAAATGGAAAGTACCTCCTCCTCCATCAGAGCTGACACTGGGAGTCCATTGATCTCCAGGATTCGGTCCCCAACATGGATGGCGTTCCGAACCTCTGGACTAATATGCATCCCTCTGACCCTGTAAGGATAAGATTTTGGGAGATTTCCATCATGAAAAGACAGGTTAAGAATGATAAGAGAAATCGCATAGCTTTCTGTTATGGCATCACATCCAAAGAACACAAAAAGAAAGTGGCAGTTTGTGCCCTCAGTCCAACATAAGCAGTCATATCACCACAGTTATGCAAAACATTCCATGTGTCTCTGACATTGGGTGTGGTGGCATTGCGGTGAATCTTCGAGGTGATAAATTACTTAAGTAAGTCTCTATTATTCCAAATGTTTCTCAGCATATTCAGCTTTATCTGACTGCTTGCTTAACCAGGACTCAAACGAAGATCTCAAGCAAAATAATTGGGGGATGCATCAAATGTATTACATGTTAATTCCACATCTCTACTTACTCTTTGACCTGGACACTGGCCGTGGCACTTGTGCAGTCTCTAATCACGCTGACAGAGAAACCTCTTTTACCATTGGTGGCAGCGGGCATGGACACCAGAGTCACTGTGTGAGGGAGCAGGTCCGTTGGAGAGTCGGCCAAACCATGCTTCTCCAACACCGGCGTCAGGACCACCTGCTTGTAGCATTTACCACTGCGTGAGAGAGAGAAGTTGAAGAGCCTCACTTGAGTTTGAAAACTTTAGGACCTGAACTTTCAGGACAAGACCTGACAAGAGCAAGTCACCTCTAGACATGTTATGAAACCCTTGGATCTGTGTCAACCTGCCTGTGCTTTACTGAAAACAACAAATGAAGATAAACAACAGACAAAATAGCAAATTGAATCATATAAAAGGAAGTTAAGAAGAAACTTTTTTTAATATAAAGAATTAGGAGATTATGATATTGTATTAAATATAGCTGCTTACCTGTACTCAATGTAATACAATTTAAGTTACCAATATTTAAAGGCTACTCAAGGTTTGCAATGCAAGTGTTTCCTCAGTAAAATTTTGTAACTAATGGGCCTTATTCATGAAACATGAATAGAACAAATGTGTGTACATATATAACAGTTTTTTCGTAAATTGGTACTTTAAAATAAATTAGTTAATTTATTAAATAATGAATTAAGTGAATTTAAAAAAGCCAGATGTGCACAAGATTTGCGTTTCCTTGCAAGAAAACAACTTTTTTTAATGTGCTGCACAAGAAACTATTAGATTTTGTTCAGTTAAGCTTTCAAAAACAGCTTTGCAATTCTGCAGTGGCATCCTATTGAACAACACAAATGATACAAGAGATCATAACTACAAGGATACTGAAGATAGTTAATTAAAATAAAAAGTCAAACTGAAACTGGGACATATTTACATTTTTGAATGAATCGTCATAAAACTGGGACTTCTGGTCACCCTAGCTAAGATATGTAAAAAGTCAACACAGAGGAATCATCACTACAGTTTGGAGCTAATGCGTGTAAAGTTTCCGCACCAGTACGGTCTACAATAAATACATGTACAGTTTGGAAGTGAAATGTGTGCTCACCAGTAGAGTTTGGTTCGTTCCACTAAGGCATAGGTATCCTGATCCTCAATCACCACTCTGCAGCTTAAACACACGAAGCATTCGGGGTGGTATTTATAGTCTCCTGCCACCTGAAACACACCAATGCCCAGTGCACATCAGAAAACCACCATAATAGCTCGCGATTTCACTCCAAAAGTCCACAATGGACATCCCAAAAGGTAATCCTCAGTGCCCTGACAGTGGTCCAGAAACACTCTTTCTGGGATACTCCTGTGCGTTGAGTGGATGCAGACTGCTCTCTGCCGAGCCCAGGCGTGGTGGATCATACCTTCATTGTGCTTCATCTGCTTTGTGTCGGTGTACTGTCTTCGCTCAGTCTGCGTTCTTTAACAGTGACGCGAGTGCGTGCGCTGTCTTTTTCTGTAACACCTGCAAGTGTCTGGGCCTGTCTGTTATCAGAAGTGACATAAGACTGCCAGCCCCTTCCCCATAGCCATGATCCCATGCCCTTAGACAACACATCATTTGTGTCAATCTCTGTTTAACACCTCCTACCTCTATCTAATGCAGGCTCTCGCTTTGAGCTCCCTCCCATAAATCTTACAAGAAAAGTTTGGGGTAAAACTTTTTATTGTTTGCCCCTTTTTACTTTTATTCTCTGATGTTTCACCCTGAAAAAATGTATAAACCCGGAAGGACTATCAAATATGCAACCACACACATTTTAATCTGAGAATTTACTGGAAATACATAAACCATAAATATCCATTCACTAGTCATTACATTAGCAAATACAATTCCACAGAAATCATAAATCAAACCCCCACACATCTTTTAAACTTGTAAACAATTAAATACCCTAGATCCCTTTCTTTACAGGCCTGATGTTTTATAGGAGCACTCAATACCAAATTGCTTTCATCCTCACTCCTTAGAAATATATTACACACACAGTTTGCCCACTCTAACTTACTCATATAAATTAAATATAAAAATAACTGCCAATCAACAAGGGTTATTGAACAGAAATAAACTTTTGAATGGAAAATTATTTAACCAACAACCCTCTGGCTCTTCCTTTCATTCTGGCTGAATGGAGAAAGTATGAGGTCACGCTGAGGTTTCATTTAATGTGAACCACAAAAGACAGATTAGCAGTTATGTTTACTGAGCTGTGAATCAATGGTCCCAGGGTTTGACTAACCAAATTCTTGGGTAATTTCTCGGCTGGGGAAGCCACACCTCCTCAAGCAGACTAAACCATTCAACAATCAGAGTTCAGAACATGTAGACAGGCAATTAGAGGATTTCATGCCTACTTGGATTAGGTCTTGGTCATTCTAGCATAAAATAATGCAAAATAATACCATAACACTCAAAAATAATGAAAAGGTATATAATAATAATAATAATATTTGTATTTCTTTATAAGGCATTGTACTGCATACAAGATAGCAACTGACCATATGGTAATCAGCAAAGCTGACAGGGTATGGGAATGATGTAATATTTAATGTCTACATTTACAGTAAACCAAGTGTACATGTACAGTGCTTTGCTCAAGGGCAGTTAGTTGAACAGCTCGACTCTTGGTTCAACCTGTGAGTAAGCATGACGTTTCAAATATTTTTTGAGCATACACAATTTATAAACGTCATAACTGTCTGTGTGTTACAGCAGAGTGTGAATGTGCATGTGAGAAAGGCTGTTTCCCAGCAGTACTTTGTAAAAGAGCCACCCCTCCTTTAGGACTCAAGGAGTCATATCACTACGGCTAACTGAACACAGAACGGATAAATTTTTTTTTTTTTTTTTTAAACTCTCTATGTGAAAGTTTCTCACCTAAGAACGTGACGTGCTAAAAAGTGGCAGCAGAACCATTACAGCAGCTTTAGACATAGAAATGTAACTCCAAGATGAAGAAAAAAGGGGGAAAATAGGGTAGAAACTCAACTGGACTGAACAGTGAGTAACTTTAATCCAGCCAAAGAAAAGAGTTTATTACCATGGATGGATTCACAAACACATTCTCAAACAAGCCCTTCAGCTGTGAGGATGTGATTTCTCCCTGCCTGTCTTTCAGAGGTTTTGACAACCTGCTGGCTTGTGCTTGAGCCCACAACTGGCAACGCACCCTGACCAGAAATACTTGGCATCCGTCAATCCGAGCCCAAACAGAAAAGGCCTATTATGAGTTTTGCTAGCTGGCAAATTCTCTTCTTTCTCCCACTTTTCTCTTTTAACCCATTTAAACACGACCTGCTTTTTGAGCAGTGATTTGTTTACATTAGAGATAGATTTGTAAGTCTCCTCCTCATTGAAGCCCATGCAAAAGCATTCCAGACGCATGATGAAACAGCACACAACACTGAGGCCATTCCAGCCTTCAGATCAGTCACCCTGCTCACAGGAATGAGATAATTTATAATAGTCAGCAGTAACAACTAGTCTGAAATCAAGACAGAGATATGATTCAAAGTTTTACTTGACACACGAGAAAACTAATGAGTTATCCTAGAAGGAAAAGTAAGAAACACAAAGAGAATATTTGAACAATACAGCTGTCCATATTAGTCAGTCACGGGACTAGGGGTGCGCAATATAGCCTCACAATTATATCACGATATTTCAAGAATATTTGCGATAACGATATTTATGACGATACAGAAGAAAAAAACATGGAACAACGTTTTATTGGTGATTGCAGGCAGGCAGCAGCATTTATTCATTTTCCATCCTTTTCCAATGAGCTACTGTCATCGATGACAGACTACCTAATTTGAAGTGTGAATCTATTGTCATGAGGTGGCAGCAGCAGCTGTCTGCTCGACTTGAAGCAGACCGATCGGTGTATGATGTCAAAATACTGCGAGAGTGACTTACCCTTTATTTACACTGCACCCATCTGTGGCGCGTTACGGCTCCGACGCGGCCACTCTAGTCAATGCTTGTGTTTACATTAGCGGAGCCGCGGCACATTTCAGAAGGGTCCCAGAAGCGGCTCTCCGCGCCGCTTCGCTAAAGATATGCGCCTCGCCTATTTTTGAAGGTAAGAGTGTGCGCTCGAATATGCTCTAGAGCCGCTCTCGGTCATCGCATCGCTATATCGTTGATATCGCGATATGACACTTTTTTTATCATGTAAAAATGTATTATCGTGGACGGTATATGGCACACCCGTACACGGGACCCAATGTTTTTAAAGGGGTCATATGATGCGATTTCAATTTTTCCTTTCTCTTTGGAGTGTTACAAGCTCTTGGTGCATAAAGAAGATCTGTAAAGTTGCAAAGACTAAAGTCTAAAGGTGTAACTTTAATTCTCGCTGTAGTATTGTTGTTGCCGCGGCCGCCATGTCGTGAAGGCGCTGTTTCATTGTTGGATCACCGGATCGGCTTTCACTGTGGACGAAGTGGAGTCCAGCTCGGGGTCCAGCTCCTTCATCGAATCCGCCGGCCGCGTCGTTCTCAAGCCCGCCCGCCGCCGCTCACTCAAATGCAACAAATGGCTCATTTATAATGGGTTTTAATGTTTTTGTCTCATCGCTCCGGCCGGACAATCACAATATGGTAAGCGGCATCACATCCGTCACACGCTTGAGGTATTCGGCCAATCACAACACACTGGATAGCTAGCCAATCAGAGCACACCTCGCTTTTCAGAACGATGAGCTTTGTAAAAATCGACGCGTTTCAGAAAGGCGGGGCATAGAGGAGAAACAATAATGTACAGTATGTGGAAAATAATGTGTTTTTTGAACCTTAAACCGCATAAACATTTCATTACACCAAATACACAAAATAATGTTCTTTTTAGCAACATCATATGTTGTTGCTATATTTGTTGTAGTCTGGATATTTGTTTGTACGGACTTCTTTCAAACTACATTTACGTCCTTTTTGGAGCTTGTATTAGGTCCCATTGATTTTCATATGGATAAAATCAACAGAAACATCTTTCGTGTTTTGCAAAACAACATGACGGTGGGTAAATGGTGACAGGGTTTTCAAGTTGGGGTGAATCATCCCATCAAGTCTGCAAAACAATCAAGCACACATCAATTCAGCGTGAGCTCAGCTGAATCTGATGACAGTTTGGATAATCATAACTTACACCTTTGATACCATACTGTGGTAGTGATGATGGAACAAATATAGCAGGGCTTTGGTCATTTGTGAGACAGCTGTAGGGAGGTTTTTGACTCATAAGTTCGTAATGCTGATGTAGTCCTTACAGGAGAGATTTAAGATTTGTGCCTTTCATATGCTTTCCTCCCACAAGCATCACTCAAATGTGATTCATTTGCTCACATTAGGAGTGGTAAAGTGGAAAAGAAAGTTTAAACCACCCTTTACCTTATCAGTGACCTCTTCGGTATCATGAAAAACATCTGCACATATTGCCTTTTGTCTGCCTTCATTAGACCTCTTGATTTAGCCATGTAAATATTTACTGGATGAGACAATGGCATGTTATCTGAGCGGTTCTTGCGCAGGTTAGCATTTGTCTTGTGAAATCTTCTTCTTAAGACCTTTCTATTGATAGTCAGTTTCTTTACTCTCTCAGTGAATTTTTTTCACATAGCTTTTCTTACCATAGCAGGTCCAGTCATAAGCAGTGAACAGCCATGGCACAACTCCCCAAACTTCTCGCAGTAGTGTTTGTGACAGTACAGCTTCCCCTCTTTCTCAAAGTACCAGTTTGTCAGGAGATCAAAGCACACAGAACACCTGGAGGAACAAGAGTGGAAAAGTCTGTAAGTGAAACATTCTGTTTGTAGACATTCCGTTCAGCAGCTTATCTGAAATCGGCTCTCCATGAAAGAGGAGGAACCTGAGTGACTGAGATGTTTAGCAAGTGAGGATTATGGCTTTGTTGGGCCATAAACAGTCCCAAAGCATGTGACTGCTTTAGGTATTTGACATGTTGACTGCATCCCTGGAATTTCATGTTTGAAGTTTTAAAGAAATATTTCACCTAACACTCATTTACTCTCCGTCATCTGTGGAACACAAAAAAGGATGTCATATTGAAGAATATCTTCTTATCCACTATTCTGTTCCTCTTAGAGTAAAAACAACAACAGCAACTATCAAACGGCTTCTCGAGGCTTTGAATATAGTGCACAGATCATACGGACTGTACATTCTTCAATATCTCTCCTGTTTTGTTTCACAGCCAAAACAATGTCATACAGGTTTGGAATGACATAAGAATGAGTAAATCGTTTCGTTAGTTGACCTTTAACATTAACAAAACATTTGATGGTCTACCAAAACAAAGTAAAAAAAATAAGTGATTAAATGTTTGCAACAGTGGCTGAAGTGTTTCAGTCATACATCTGAAAGTAACACAAAGTACACTTCCTACTTTAAGACATATCTTCTTGTAATCTGAGGTAATGTTATACAGCAGTGGTCAATGAAGTCAAAGACGACACATTCAGTACGGGCAAAAATATCCATTAACTCGTGACCGAGACAAAGTCCAACTGGGCAACACACAAACACTATAGTTAAGGAATTTGGGACACAAGCCAAAGCTAGTCATGAAACTCTCTCATACACACTCTCTCCTGTCAGCCACCCTACCTACAATTGGAACCTGATGCTGGGACACAAGCTATGCCACTTTAAACTATTAACTATTTCCCATGAGGAAAAAATGAGCCTAATTAAAGACTTCGAACTGCAAAGCACTTGCACCTTGAGGCTTTTTTGAAACAATAAAGGATGGTTTGTCCAGGGGAGACAGGGAAGGATGCATGAAAAGCAAAAAGTTCCTCTTTACATGCCACAGCTTGTTTTCCCAGACTAGTTAGAGGTGAAGAGGGGGGCAACTGGGACCTACATCAAATGTGAAACACCTAATGGGTACACAACTTTAGCAGAAAAGGTACAGCCTTAGAGGCAAATGGCAGTACCATGATGAATGCTCAAAATATTTCCTCTAAATATACATCCGACATGCTCATATAGTAACTGTATGTGTGCTGCTGCATTAATGATTCCAAAACAATGCTGCATTAATATAAGGACATAAATAACCACATATAAATAATCATATTTATGTTATCCGTACCGAAACGGTTCGGTACGAATACGTGTACCGTTACACCCCTAGTTATTACATAAGTTACTATTTTACTATAATTACCATATTGTATTATAATTGTAGGTAGTATTGTGCCAAAAAGCACATTTTAAATGAATCTTAAAGTTCTGCAAAAGTTATTGGAAATAATAAATAATCAGTTTGTATTAGATTGTTCTAGGTTACTCATCCACTTGTGCTACAGATATGAATGACAGGCTCACAACACTGTAGCATCATAGAGGCAACCTCTACACAGGCAAACCCCACTCTAAAATTTTGTTTTGTCCTTTTTGAATAGTTGCACTGTTCTGTTTTACGTAATTTATAAATCAATTGCTAACATATACTGAATCATTATACCTGTGTACTCTGTAGTTATTATTCAAGATATTTTTCAAGGGATCATTGCTGTTCCTGGATCGTTATTCACCACAGTATAGGCTTAAGTCTATTATGACAGAACAGAAGCAGCCACTCTGAAAACCTCCAAGCTTTATATAATAAAAAAATAATAATTCGAAGGAGCAAATCTGGTTAAAATTTCCACTGTGAGTGAAGCAACAACTCTGCACAGAATTTTAGATCCTAAAAATGAAAAGTAACACCTGAAGGTAAGAAAGGAAAACATTTTTGCCTGTTGCTGCTGGGGCAAAATAGCAAGATTAAACTCTCAGACAATGGTAAAATCAGTCATGTTGTTTGGAAAACAGTTACCCTTTTTTGGGGTAGTTACCCAGTTACCCTTTCTTGGATTTCCAAGCATCCAAGCAGGAAATCGTCTTCAGGCCATATTCCAGAAGTACAGTTATCTTTATTTCCACAATGAGGAAAACACGAATACTCTCCAGTGCTGAAGGGATTAACAATTAATCTTTTTAAATACCCTATTAAAATTGATTTGGCACACAGCATGAATGGCTCGGTGTGCGGTATGAACGGAAATTTCTAAGGGTTTACTAACTTAAAAGCAATTTGTAGTAGTTATTTCCACAATTTTAGAACTCTGCCGTTCACATTTAGTGAACGGCACATTTAGAGGTTTTAGCATCTAACTCAAGGCCTGCAAACTGAAGGCCAACCATCACTTGAAACCAACTCACTGACAAACCCAACAAGACAAAGTGCCAAAGGGAAGCATCTGGCATGCAATGTTCTACTAAAGGCCGTGCTCTCTGGTACACCATGTACCAGAAAAAGAGAAAGAAAGGGAAAGAAATGGGGAAAACTGAAAAAAAAATCCACTCAATGGAATGAGCGTGGGGAGGATGTGGAAAAGCAAGTGCTGAGACGTTCTGATAATGATCACATTAGTGTGAGAAGGCCACCAAACCCTCAAGCCTGTAGACAGAACGGCTAGATTTTGGCCATGTGCCCAGTTGTTGCCTTTGTTTGGAGGAATGTTGACAAGCTCAGTTTCTAGAGGGAGACACAATAACCCAGTCACTCACGTAGAGTGGGCAGAACCTCGCCATCCAATCTAGGGACTCCATTTGTGTGCCTGTGGGGTAAAACCTGCTCACGAGTTGGGCAACCTGTGTTCCGACAGTGACATCATAGCAGATGAAAAGGTTTGTGAATCATTCTCTGGCTAACATCTGTGAGGGCATTGCAAAGGCTGAGCAGGTGTGCACACATGACAAACTTTCACCTGTGCACCAGATGCGACTGGTACATTTTGGTCACTAATTTCAAAACAAGCCTGATGTGTTCTAAATGGAGAATACCTATGCATGGCACTTGGATAAGTTAAACATTTTAATGTTGTAATCTAAATGCTGTAAGGGAATTTAGGGATCGCAACATTGTAATATGTAAACTAGGTGACGGCAAACACAATCTGATGTAAAACAAATTAAAAATGTCATCATATCAGCATATTTGAATGATTTCTAATGGATCATGTGACATTTCAAAATATATTAAAATAGAATAAAATAATTTTAAATTGTAATAATTTTTCACAATATTGCCGTTTTTTTGCAGCTTTGGTGATAAAGAGACTTTCAAAAACCTTTTACCAACTCTACCCCTGGTTTCATAGACAAGGCTTAAGCCTAGTCCCAGACTAAAATGCATGTCTGGGCTGTTTTAACTGAAAGAAACTTGCACTGACTGATATTAATATGTCAGATTCATTGTTTTGTCTCAAGATGCACACCAGTACAGTTTTTATCTGAGCCATATCTGTAAAAGCTACTTACATGCCTTAATTGAACTATAGCCTAAACCTAAACTCTGTCTGTGAATCTGGGCCCTAAACTTTCAAATGGAAGTATATATTCAACAATACTAATTAAACAACCGATACCTATGGAAGCCGTTTCTGCCACTCAATAAAAAAAAAAAAAAGGTAATTCTGACTATTTTTCTCAGAATTGTGGGATGTAAACTCGCAATTGCAAGTTATAAAGTCAGTATTGCGTGATATAAACTCACAACTGTGAGAGAAAAAAAAACAGAATTGCGAGATTTAGATAAGCTTGCAACTCTGAGAACATTCTTTTTTCCCCATCAGAATTACACTTTATAACTGGCAATTGCTAGTTTATATCATGCAATTCTGTGAAAAAAGTCAGAATTGTGAGTTTGTATCAAGCAATTCTGAGAAAGAAAAAAAAAGTCAGAATTGCGAGATGTAAACTCGCAATTGTGAGAAAAAAGTCAGAATTGTGAGATAAAAACTCACAATTACCTTTTTTTTTTATTTTTTATTCAGTGGCAGAAACAGGCCTCCATAAATACCAATTTAAAAAAATAAACATATTGGCCAATAACCAATATTTTCAACCACTACACCATTTAAATTATTGCTGTAGAGAATGAAGCCTCTGAAAGACGTATGACATGATAACAACTGATGTCTATTGGGACATTTAAATAATTATCACAATGACTTAAGAGTACTGCCATTGTAAACAACTCTCGCGCTGAACTTCTGTAACGCCTATGACCAGGTATCTCAAGAACTCTGTCTTTCAATTCTGCACGGAGGAGGCAACACCTATTCTCTTTTCTGTTCCAGCTTACACCCAGAGGTGAAAACAACAGGCTTCAGGTAAAATAAAAGAAATTATTCAAACCTTGACATGCACTCCAAGACAAACAGTACAGATAGAGAACAAACATTCCTTTACTTCCTTCATTCCATTAGCATTCACATTAACAAAGAAACATTCTGGTGCTCACAACTGGTATTGAGACCTCCTAAATCCTGCAGGTTCCCCATCATGTCTGTTAACTCACAGAACTAAATGATGAGGATCAAAAGAAATAAAGCGAGCAGACATATAAAGTCGTATCCAAATAATCAACTTAAATTCCTCAAATCCTAAAAACATACCCTATGCTTATAAAATAAGTTTAAAAAACTTGTCTTTAAAGATGGCAGTTGTGATTATGGTCAAAACAGCTATGCTTGGACTCGTAAGGTTAACAAGCTCATTCAATACCATAATAAAAAAAAACATTACTATCTGAAGGTATTTTCATATAAACAATTAAACTAAGGAAGTTGACAACAATAAATAACAAAAGTGGTGTTATAAAGATGGTATTTTAAACTTTGGCTATAATGCTATAAAATTTCAAATTTTGCATTTTAATTGCTAATAAATGTAAGTCAATTTGAAAATTCAGATCCAGGATGCATTAAGACGACATTTCAGCCCCTCCTATAGTTATAGTTAGAACAGTCATTAAAGCATAAGAGTTCAGTCTGTCCTTCCAATCACAAAAGCGGCATTAGTTGGACATTTGACAAAAACAACTCAACAGAAAAGGGGAAAAAAATATACAATTTTGTATTTGTCTGGAGGAGCTATGAGCCGATGTCTGGGAATGTGACGGCTAACCAGAGAGGAGATCCTACCTTCACTGCAACCAAACACTTACAGAAAAACAGGGAATGCCTGCCATAACAAAAGAGGGATTCCACAGAGGAACAAAGAGTCAATTGATTAAACTAATAATAAACAGTAGAAAGAAGTTAATTACTAAATGTATTGCTTATGAGTAATCAAGCACCAGGCTATGGCAATTAACCTTGTGATGGTTTCAAGCCAGAGACAACAAGCTTATATATGATTTAACTGGGAAGCTCAAACTTACAGATCATATCCAACCAAAAAATAAATCAACAGAGGTGAAAAAAAGCTGTATCCATGTTCCAGATTGCATAAAATGTCGTGGGCTCTGGAGTAATTTCTGCTCTCATTAAGGAACACAGCATCTGAGGACCCTAAGTTTCCAGAACATGGCTGATTTGATCACGTTGACCAAACTGTTCCATAAACTTGGGCTATTTGGGCTATGGACTTTTGGAATTGGGTTTTCATCCATGAAGGTCATTAAAAAAAACAGTCTCGCAAATCAGTTTCTATAAGTCCAAAGGTCTGACCGAGTAAAAGTCAATCCTCCAAAAGCTTCTACAATTCACTGAAACTCTTAATAAGAAACAATGTTTAAAAAGCTAAGAATAGTTCTTATACAAAAAGCTTTCTGGGGTAAGTTATGTTAACTGATGTCTTTTATTCAACAATGGTCACCGGTATAAAAAAAAAAATTGTTGCTGCATTTAGAAATATTGACAGTAATGACTCTGGCAGGCAGTTTTTTTTTAACTAGGGATGCAACTATTTTGATGACACATTAATCTAGCCAAGAACTGCCAACATAGACCTTCTAAGAGTTTTTAAATCATTAGCTTTTTCTTCAAAAAGGACCTTTACTTTTGCTGCACATGCCGTTTTTGATAGTTAACCACTGATAAGCCTTAAGACAAAAAGGGCCTTTTCATGGTCCTATATTACCACTTTACATCATTCACAGTGTTTTTCTTACACAAACAAACATTTCTCTCATGTATTTACATAAACAAATCACCCAAGCCCCTAGATGAAGCTTCTAGGAGTTCCTAGTAGCTGACAAACACTGAACTAAGCAGCCCGTAATACCTACATGTAGGTGTGAGAAAAAACAATGCTTTTATTTGAATGCAATAGCCTGCATTTTTTCTCTCAAAAGGAAAGAAAAAGCATTCCTCTTTGTCTCGGATGCTGGTCAACTTCACCACCCTTCTCAGTAATTCCATATAGTTGTGTACAGAGTTTGGTAAATAAAACAATTCTCTGGCTAAAAATGATATTACGCAGCGCCTGAAAATAGTCCCCAGCACGCTCC